GCCCACTATCCTTTTGAGCATGCAAGACCAAGGTGTGCCTCCAGCTTAGGGGAAAGGGAGAGGAAGGTGTTTTATACCAAATATTCATAGCATATCTTCTTAGTAAATACCCTTTCTAAAAGATAATCTATGTCTACTGGCTAACTGAATAGAAGGCAAAGGAAATGGATTGGGGGGGGGGGATGAGGTGGTTAGTGATGGGCAGTATGAGAAATACAGCCCTTCAGGATAATTCCTAGAACCTTGAGAGACTAAGTCACAGCTGCATTCTGAAGACCAGGCCCACCACTATGAATTCACTTGAAGGAATTAGCCCCAGAGGGATTGCTACAGATATTATGAATATACATATTAATGTACAGATTGTCTCTCCCTATAGAATGTAAGATCCTTAAGGGCAAGGACTGCTTCACTAGCATAGTACCTGTCACATAGTAGATGCTTAATAAATGCTCTTCCCCACCCAAACTGAAGCCTCCTACAAAATTTTCTTTCTTTTGAGAGCACAACCATCCTCCCAGTCACCCACATTCACAAGATCAGACATATCTTTTCCTTTTCCCTCACCCCACCTGCCACAGCCAATCAATTGACAAGTTTTGTCAAATCTACTTCCATAATATCTCTCATGTGTCCCTTTCTCTCCACTTATATGGCAACCTGCCCTCATTGCCTCTCACTGGGCCTATTGCAATAGCTTCCTAACTGATTTTCCTGCTTCCAGTCTATCCACTCTCTAACCTATCCTCTAGACAGCTAATAAAATGACCTTCCTAAAAGCACAGTCCTGATTGGGTCAGATCCCAGGTGAAAAATCTCCAGTGTCCCCCCTTTGCTTCTCCCCAGCTTGGCACTGAAAGCCTCCTCCATCCAGCTCTAACCTGCCTCTGCAAACTTCGTTTCTATTTTAGTTCACACGCTCCACATTCCAGCCAAACTACTCTACTGAACTTCACATTCTATCTTCTTTCCTTGGGCCCTTGCATAGGCTGTGGTTCCCTGGGCCTGCGATGTGCTCTCTCCTCCCCTTTTCCCCTTAGAATCCTTAGCTTCCTTCAAGGCTCACTTCCAGAAACCTTTCCCCATCTCCCTGGTTGCCAGTGTTATCTCTCTTCTCAAGTTACATATCTGTGTAGATGTATCTCCCTAGAAAGCTATACGTTCCTTGAGAACAGGAACTATCTTGCTTTTGTCTCTGGATCCCCAATGTCAAGCAAGACTACTTGTACATGGTAAGTACTTCGTAAATGCTGGTTGAATTGCATCTAATGAACTCCTGTATATGCCAGTGTGAAGTGTGTGGGGCCTGTGCATAAGTATACATGTTATAAACCTGTCCTTGGGCTGTTCAGAGATAACTCCTCCCTTTCCTGTTGGAAGTATCTGTCTCACAGTGACTCTCTGTCCCAGACTCAGGAGCTAAACCAAATTGCCCCCAATGGGTGCTCAGCCTCTGTGTCTCCTCCCTCTGTGGGCTCTGAGTCCATGCTCTCCCACCTTTTCTTGCCAAGGTGGAAGCTGGAGAATTGTGTGGAGCAGATAGACACACCCTCTAACCCTGCCCCACCACTTTCAGGAGAACAGGGACCTCCTGAGAATCCTTTCCCCTTCTGCTCCACAGACAAAGAAGGACCTTTCCCGGAGGGAGACCTATTAAGGAGAGAGCCTCTACAGGGAGATAGATATTCATTCCTCTGGGAGTCCCTTCTGACTCCCAGTGAGAAAGAGAGGCCCACAGGGACCATCTGGCCACCATTAAGCAAAATTCTTCATAGGGATTAATCTTCTAACCTCATCAGCCCCAACACCATTAACAGGCACAGACACACACAAACCCTTCACCCGAAGATATACACACACCCATCCCACAACTACACAATGGTGGCACATGAAGGACATCATAGACACAAATAGAGTGATGCTGGGGGCATGCACACAATATATATATACATCATAGACACAAACTAATCAATTGTTCAAACTCCTAAAACTTGGAGGTGGGCTAAGTTGAGGGGGCGGGGGGGAAAGAGGGTAAAAGCCCTGGGAAGGTGAGTGGGAGGCAAGCAAGATCTGGAGCTCATCACAGAATCACCCCATCCTTTTTCCTCCATTGGACCCAGCCCTGCCAGACCCAGCTTTCACTCAAGCTCCTCTCGTGGCTGCCTGGGCTCAGAGACATCTCCCTCCCTTTCCCCTTCCACACTAGATGGAAAGCCCAAGCCTCCCTCACTGCCATTACTTGAAATCATTTATGATGTGGTCTGAACCCAATAGCCAATAGGGCTAAGGGAAGCAAAGCAGGCACTGGAGGCTGGAAAGGGGCTCCAGCGGGGCCAGTCAGTGCAGGGCCTGGGACTGGCCATGCCAGGAACCACTGGGAAAAGGCCTCCAGCCCAGGCTGTCCTGGCAGACCCTCAGTCATCACCTCAATCTGGCACCAGAGCTTGGGGATCAGCTTGGGTGGGTGGGAGGAAAAGAGGCTATCAGACCAGGCTGCCCCATTCTGGGCCCCCTCTGCTATATACACACACCCCTATTGGGAATCCTAGGACTGGACTGAGAGAGTTGCTGCTTATTCTCCTGCCATTAGCTGAGGGACTTGAGACCTCTAACTCAGCAAAAGCAGGAGCTAGGGCTGCAGTGTGGGAGGAGAGGAGTGGCAGAGGAGGGAGTGCCCTCAGCAACTGAGGGTGTTAAGAGGCTCAGGTTACAGCTCCTAGTTGTTTATGTGTTTCTGCTTTTGCTGACCATTAGCCAGAAATCTCTGCCTTCACCCTCCCAGCTCTGTGTTCATCTCCTCTTCTGTCCCCAGTCCCCAACTCCCTGAGCCTCAAAACCAGGGCTTCCTCTCTCTTCCCAACCCCCAATCTTTGGGATCACCTTCTTCAAATTCCTTCCTCAACTCTGTCATTCTCCCAGAACTCTCCTCCAGAATACCTTCTACCATCTGGCCCACCTTTACTTGGTGGTACTTATCATAGATCTAAATTTATTCCCCTTCCCCAGGCGTCCCCTCAAACTGTGCCCCCATCCCAAGAGTCTCCTGTGTAGCCTCCTTTTCCCCCAAATCACCTCCTCCTAAAGGTCTCTTCTGCTGGAAAGAGGAATTCCCCTTTATTCTTTTGGCACAAAACTCCCAGTTGCTGGGGGGTGGGGTGTGAGACGTCTTGAGGGTTCAAAGGAATCTATCTACTCTGTTAAAATGGTGAAAGGACCAGGGGGCCTAAGCTGAGGTCATTCTAGCTGTGGACGGTCCACCTAATGCTGCCCTTTGGCCCTGGCACAGAAGCCAAACCGTTGTCAAGAATTCTTGGAAGACCCAGGAATTGCTGCCTCTAGCCAAGCAGGTCAGTGGGTCAGGAGGATTCCCTCTCCCCTTGGGATTTGTACAGCTGGCCAGAAGCCCCGCCCCCTGTTACCTTGGTTGGTTATGGACAGAGCTTTAACCTGAATACAGATACAGCTAGATACACACTCACAGGCAAGCACACTGCTACCCACCATAATTCCACATTCACATGCGCAGGCAGAAACAGATCAATATGTAATCACAAACACAGTCACACAAAGATGCACATCAGCACACAAAGAATACACAAAGGGAAGCAGGCGGCACACGCATCCTACTCAGACAATAACATACACACCTTCTTTCCCACCAGGAGAGGCACAGACCCTAGGTTTAGCCAAGTGGCATTCTTCCCCTCCACCTAGGAACCATGAGTGATAGATAACTCAGGCCCCACAAAGGACTTCTAAGGGTCCTGGGGCTGGAGGTCCATCAGAAACAGCAATGAAAACTGACACGTTTTTGAGGCATTTTAAATGAATTATCTCATCTGATTCTCACAACAACCCTCGCTGTTGATAAGACCCAGGCTTTTCAGACTTCCCAGAACCGACAAGGGGAAGAGAAAGGGACGGTAAGCACCGTGCTTCGATAAGCCTTTCTTATCGCAGGCCGCCTTTGTTCGCTTTTCCACACTCAGCCTCTGACCCTAGAGCCAGCACCCAGTCAAGACCATACTGCTGACCCGGAGTCGGCCTCACTCCTAGCAAACCCCGTTACGCAGGGGTGCAGAGAGGTCCGACTAGGAGCAGTGAAGGAAAAGCGGACTGGCAGCCAAGCCAGCCAATAAGAAGCTCAGCTTGACCCGGGCTAGACCTATCCATGCAACCCCTCCCGCGAGAAGGCGGGGCTCTCAGCTGCAGGCAACCCGCAGTCCTTCTCAGTCTCAGGTGAGGACCGCAGTAGCGGAACACAGAGCCAGGTAAGCGGAGCTAAAGGGCCAGACTGAGGTGATACCCGGCGGAAGGGAGGAGGGTAACCCAGAGAGAGAGGGAGGAAATAAATTACCAGTCCTGCCACTTTATGTGCTCCTGGAGCTCTGTGGAGAGTCTTTGTGTCCGGGTTTGGGGAATTCCCTAGTTGCTGGGGGGAAGGAGGGGAAGTCGCTTTAATCTTCCTCTCGGGAGTCGTGGGCGAGGGGAGGAGGGGAGCATAGCAGGATGGGGGTGTAGGACTGTGGAAGAGGTCGGCCTTGGGCAAAGAGCGCAGGTATGGGCCCCCTAATCTCTTGGACGGGGGGCAGGAGAGAACCTTCTATGGAGCTGTCCCTGGTACTGAAGCCCTCTCCTGCCCCCCCTCCCGCCCCCTTCATCCCCCCTCCCCCAAACCCTGGGGCTTCTTTTTATTGAATATTCATCCCTTCTTGAATATTCACAAGTATTCTCGGAAGCTGGGGGAGGGGGGGCGGAGTGGGAGGAATGGTGAAATTCCCTGAGACAGCCTCTCCCCTAAGGCCTGAAGCCAGACGTCTCAAGTCTTTGGTCCCACCCCTTTTGGGTCCCCTCTTGGGCCCCAGTACTGGACATGGACTCTCTTCCCTAAAATCAGTATCAGGGCCCTGGATGGAGAATTACACAAGAAAGCCGAGGTGGAAGCAGGAACTGGGGAACAGAGCCGGGACTGAGATGCTTCCCCGTCCCTAAGGGTCTCGATGCCTGTTTCGGGGTGGGATGTGGGGAAGGTGACTGTTAAGGGGGCGTCTGCCTTGACACTGCTCCCTCTTGGCCCTAAGATTCCACCTGTGTCGCCAGGCCTAGAATGTCATCGATGTGCAGATACAGTCAGAGGGAGTGAAAGGCCCCTAGGGGCCTGAGACCCTCCACCCCGGGCCTCCACCCCGAGGACTATGTCCTGTCCTGGCCCGAGCGGCCCGCTGCCTCCAGGGCGAGGGTAGCAGTGAAACACAGCCGGTCCAGGGTTGAGGCTCGAGTGGATCGTGAGACCATAGAGCGACCCGCTGCCATGGACCCTCTGGGCCTGGAGGACCTGTCTTCGGGCTCATTGAGCTCTCTCTCCTCCCGCGGCCACCTGGGCAGCGACACTGGCTCCGCAACGCGATACCTGATGAGGAGGCAACAGCGGCTGTTGGACAGGCCCCCCCGTGGAATTCGAGCCTCCTCACCCATGGGCAGAGTCATCCTCATCAATTCCCCCATAGAAGGTAAGGAGTGCGCCTGCAGAGAAAAGAGGGGCCCAGGACTGGGAGGGGCGGGCATGGGGGGAGTGCAGCTGTGGGGAAGCGATGGGGGCAGCAGAGATGAGAGACAGGTGGTTTTCAGCCCGCTGTGCCTCAGCGCTCCCGCTCTCCTGCTGCTCCACTCCTTCTGACTCTTGTGAGTCAGATGCATTGAGTTCCCTCAAGCCTACTTCGTGTTGGAAATGAGGTAGAGGTGGGGCAGAGATAAGAGCAACCATCAACCCCTTTGCAGTAAGCCGAGTCACTCTTGTCTTGAGAGCCTAACAAACATATATCTAGGACAGGAGAACCTAAAGAAGAGAAAGGTTCATTGGGCAGAAAGGAGCAACACTCACCCCTACAACTGCTCCTGAATGTGACCAGAGGAGTAGGGCTCCCAGGTTAGGTCAAGGGACCAGGGCTTCAGAGTCCCCAGGGCCTTACCAAAAAGGATTCTGAGTGACTGGATGTCCTGGGCACTGAAGGATAACTATATGGGGCTGTTCCCTCCCAGCTCTAGCTCCCTCAGAATCTAAGAGCAAGGGAGTGTCTTAAGTACAAACTCTCAGTCATAGAATCTCTGTCTAATATCTGCCTGAAGGGGGCAGCTAGGTGGCAGCTAGGTGGCGCAATGGATAGAGCACCGCCCTGAAGTCAGAAGGACCTGAGTTCAAATCAGGCCTCAGACCAAACATTTGACACGGTCTAGCTGTGTGACCTTGGGCAAGTCACTTAACCCCAATTGCCAAAATATCTGCCTGAAGCAAGACTCTTCTCTACAACAATCTTATTTCTAACTGCTCCTTTTCATGCTCTCTTCCAATCCATCCAAAGGTATTTTCTGATGACCCTGTGTGTGCTGTCTTGTGTTGGCCTGTGCTTGTGGCTTAGGCCCTTAGCTCCTCCCAGGGAGCTCACTTTCTGGCTGGAGCTGGAACATGTGTCTTGAACTCACAAAATGACATCATGTTTGCTCTGAGCTAAATGAATAGATGAGTTGCTAAAGGAGTTTAAATAAGAGATAGATCTGTATGAGCTAGGTAGGGAGCTGGGGATAGTTTCCCTCAAGGGAGTCAGAATAAATGTGCATCCTGAGAAGGCAGGATGGTTTAAATTAGGGAAGCCCAGGAAAATAAAACAAAAGCTTGGAGACCAGATGTATTGAAGAGGAGAAGTACAGTTAGAAAAGTAGGCTTTAGTCAGACCACAGGGGCCTTGAATACTGAAATAAAGTGCATAGAACACCTTAAACCTGGAATTTCCATCCTTGCTGGCTCAAAAAACCTAAAAGAGATCAGGTCCCAGGAAAAGGAAGGAATTTCCAACAGTTGGGTCTATCCTGTAGCATTTTCCTGTTTTCATTACTACGAGAGAGATGGGACAAGTGTTTGAACATCCTGCATCCCCCTCCCCATCTTTTCTTCCTAGCTACCTCCAACTCCACAACTTACTTAGGATATAAGCTCCTTGAGAATTGAGATTGTTTCATTCTTGTACATATTTGTAGCACACAGCAGGCATTTAATAAATGCCTGTTAATTAACTCAAGTCCATGCACTTCCAACCCCTGAGTTTCTTTCCTCCTCCTTCTCTCCTAGGCCCCACTCTCACAAGGCCACAGATACCAGAAACACAGAGGCAATCTAATTCCAGAAATACTTACAAGCACCTGACTTCAGGAACACTTGGTTTCAGAAATGTCTTAGGTCCATTTATGCCTAATTCTATTAGGCTGCCCCAACCACATTAAATTTTCAGAGAATCTCATTCTCTTAAGACAGGAATTCTTTTCTTTTCTTTCTTTTCTCTCTTTTTTTTTTTAAGTGAGGCAGTTGCGGTTAAGTAACTTGCCCAGAGTCACACAGCTAGGAAATATCATGTATCTGAGGCTGGATTTGAACTCAGGTCCTCCTGACTCCAAGGCCAGTGCTCTATCCACTTAGCCACCTATCTGCCCCTAGACAGGGATTCTTAACCTGGGGTCTGTGAACAGTTTAAAAAATATTTTTTATTTATAACCATATTCCAATAGAATTAGTTTGTAATTCTATGTTTTATTGGATTCATTTAAAAGCATTTTTCTGAGAATGGCTCCATAGGCTTCACCAGACTGCCAAAAGAGGGGTCAATGACAAACAAAAGAAAAAAGAAAAAAGAAAAAGATGAAGAACCCCTGCCTTAAGAGAATCCCAAAGTTGCCTTTATATAAAGGGATGGGAGGAGGGGGATAGTCTCTACCCTGGAGAAGCAATGGCTTCCTCTACACCTCCACCTGGATATCTCCCTGGCCCCCAGTTCATGTCCCCATATTGAGTCTATTAGGGCCTCCTCCTGCCTCTGGTTTGCTCAGGCTATGGGTGGGGGGGGGAAGAGGAGGGAGAGGGGGAAGGGCAGGGGAAGTAGGGAGGGAAGGGGGAAGGGGGGAAGGACCTTGGGCTCAAAGCTCTATCACATCCCGGGCGCCATGGGGCAAAGGTTATTCCCATTTTATAAATAGGCGAAATGAGGCTCAGACATGGAAAAGGCCCTGCCCTGGGTGGAACATCCCCCCACTCTCCTGCTTTGGGCTTTGCAGCTAAAAGGAGAGGCTCCTGCCTTAATCTCTTCCCTACCCTACTCCCACCCCTGATCGCAGGCCTCGGGCCCCAAGGTCACTTACCTGACCAGGCCAGGGTGGCCATGTTGAAGTCATGGCTCTGGATGGAAGCCTGCAGCCTCAGAGCTACTTTAGCCAGGATCTTTAAAAAAAAAAAAAAAAAAGATGGCTCTGAAAAGGCCAATGCCAAGTGGGTCGCTCTACTACCAGCCTCTCTGGGGCAGGGGCTGGCTGTGGGTGCATGGCCCTTTTAAGATTCCTCTCCAAAAGCCCCACAATGCCATTGGTGCTCCTCCTGCCCCTGCCCCATCCCACCGAGCACCCAGTGCCCTGGTGCCCCCGGAGCCCAAAGGGAGAAGGGGGCAGGGGGAGGGGCATCCTCTTTTGTTTAAAGAACCTCTTCAAAACCCAGACCAAGGCCGCTGGGGATGGGACCCTCTGGCCTGTGGCCCCAAACAACCTCTTAGCTTCTAAGTCCAGAACCTTCCACTCCTGTACTAAGTTTCCTTACCCCACTTCCCTCCCGCCAGAGACAAAGCCCTACCTCTAACCTTGAACCTCAACCCCTCCCCCAGACTTTGAGCCTTAAACCTTCCTAGGTTCTCTGTTCTGAAACACCTTCCACCTTTGATCCTGAAACCCTCCGGCCTTTACATCTAGAACTTACTGCTAATCTTAGAAACCCGAGCCCCACTCCGCCCACCCCAGCCTTTGACTCTAGAACCTCCTCAAGCTCTAGCCTAGAATGGGTCTCCTTAGCTCTGAACTGAGATCCCACCTTCTCATCTCTGAGTCTCAAGTCTTAGGGCCTGGAAGATAAAACCAGGCTTTGAGCTTTATGTTAATGAATTAATCTCTGAGTCTAGAACTAAGACAACTAGCATTTATTAAGCACCTACTATGTGCCAGATGTTGGGCTAAACCCCGGAGATACAAAGAAAGGCAAAAAGCAAACAGCTCCTGCTCTAACGGGGGTAACAGCATAAAAACCACTCAATACAAACAAGCCATAGACAGGATAAATTGGAAATAATCAACAGAGGAAAGGCACTAGAATTAAGGGGGATTGAAAAAAGGCTTCTTGCAGAAAATGGGACTTTACCTGAGACTTGAAGGAAGTCAGGGAAGCCAGAGGGTATGAGCAGCACTTCTTCTGCAGTTAAGCTTGGAACCATGGAACCTATGAGCCTAGAACCTAGAACACTCATCCAATCTTTGAGCCTGGAACCAAGGAAGGAAGGAAGAGAAGGAGAGAGGGAGGAGGGAAGGAAGGGTTTATTAAGCACTTACTAAGTCCTAGGCACTGTGCTAAGTGCTTTATAAATATTGTCTCATTTAATTCTCATAACAACCCTGGGAGAAAGAGAGAGAATGTCAAAGTAGGGGTAGGAGAGCAGGTGTGGATATAGAGACAAAGAAAAATCCAAATCTTTATATCTCAACCTGTACACCTCCATGTGGATATCTCTCTGGCTCCTCAAAATCATGTCCCAAACTGAGCTTATCAATGGTTGTGATATCTCCTTTGTCTCCCTAGTTCAGAACTTTAGGCCTGTCCCCAGAACCAGGTTTGGAGGAGAGCCCATCTTTGGTTTGGGATTAGGGCAGTAGATCAAAGATGGCCTCCCCTAGATGGTGCTAAACCAGCTCTATGAAAGATCCAAAATCCTTTATGACTTGGTTTTCCTCTCAGGTCTCCACTTGATAATTGTAGAATTCAGAAGCATGAAGAGACCTCAACATCCTTCTAGTGCCCACCCACACCTGAACCAAAGTCTATCTGCAATACACCCAACAAGATCATTTTAGCCCTTTTAATTTTTTAAAGACATCTAGGAAGAGGGAACCCAATACCCTCCTAAGGTAGTGCTTTCTATTTTTGGATTACTGATTCTTAGGAAGCTTTTCCTTACATCAAAAACTAAATCTATCTCTACATTGCTTCTACTCAATGTTTCTAGTCCTGCCCTCTTGAGCTAAACAATACATTTAATCCCTCTTCCATGTGACATCCCTTCAGAAACTAAAGACAACTATCATATCCTTCCCTAAATCTTCTCTTATGCAGGCTAAACATCCCCAGCTTCTTTGGCCCATCTTCATATGACCACGATCTTGAGACCCTTCACCAATCTGGTTGCCTTCTTCCAAGACAGTCCATTTTATTAATGTCCTTACTCAGATGTGGTCCCACAAAACTCTAACTGTAGTCTGATCAATAAGACTATCACCATTTCTAGACTCCTTCCATTAATTCGGTGTAAAATTGCATTGACATTTTTACTACCATATCACACTGCTGCCCAGTATTGAGCCTGCAGTACACTTAAACCCCCAGATCTTTTTCAAAAGATCTGCTATCTAGCCATACTTCCCCCACCTTGTGCTTGTAAAATTGATTATCTGAATCCAAGTATAAAGCTTTTTATTTATCCTAATCAAGTTTCATCCTGTTAAGTTCAGCCCCAAAGTGGTTCTGGGAATTTTATTGTCATCCTAAAAGATAAGAAGACCATATTTATGAAATAACCAACCATCCCTCAGCTCACAAAAGGGAATGCACTATATTAGGTTCCTTTTGATCTGTCTTCAATGTGTACCACAGTGTCACCATTAGACACATTGGAACAGCCAAGTAATTTTCAGATATTTGGCCTGATCACAGGTATACACTTATGCTACATAAAGGACTTTGTAGAACAGCCACATTAAATATAGATCTAAATGCAAAAATTGACTAGATGCATCCAGTACATGAATAATATCCAGAGAAACTTATTACATTCAAGGGTGTGGGCATCATTCTTCTGTGTAGGTTTCACAGTTCTTATTAAATATGAAGGGTGCACTTACAATATGCTAGGCACTATGCAAAATAGGGTGAGGTCTTTGCCCTCAAGGAGTTTACATTCTCTTGGTGCTGCTGGTAAAGGCAAATGGCCTCTAGTTTGTTTAGAACTTCTTGGCCCACAGGATCACTTGTCACAACAGTTTTTAGAAAGAGAGGGCAACACCAAATTTTAAGGTATCGAAGATTTAACTCATTTGCATTGTACTAGCTATGCTATTAATAAATTTTTCCAGGGTATATGTGGAGCGGGAGGGTAAGGAGTGATGTATAGGTAATTTTCTTCAGTGTTAGTAAAAGAAACCATTATACTATTCTTTCTTGCTCCTTATCCCAAAATTCTAGAATTCTTGGCCAAAGTTTATAGCAATTTAATGTCACCTGCCAAATCATGAATAGGCCTTTTTTTGTGTGGGTATCATAGATCCCGTTCATTCTAGTGGAAACTATGGACTGCTTCTCAGAATGTTTTCAAATGGACAAAATAAAACACATAGAATTACAAAGAAAACTGAGTGTATTAAAATAGTTATTAAAATATAAAAAACAAAAACTTTGTGGACTCCAGGTTAAGAACCCCTGGTGAAGGGAAGGAACAGTAGACTGCTTGTGTAAAATCACCCTCCCTGCACCTGGTGGAGCCAAGCAAAGTAAGTTTCTTCTTCCACATGACAATCCTCCAAATATCAGAAAAGTGCTATTATATCCTCCTCATTCATCCCTAAACCTTCACTTCTATTCTCCAAGCTAAACATCCACAGCCCCTTCAGTGGATATACTTATAGCATGGTTCTGAATGACCTCTTATTCTATCAGCTCCACAGGGCTAGACACAAGGTTTGATATGTGGGGGCTTTTTATAAAGGGATGTATGAGAAGAAGAGGAGAACCTTTTTTCTTTCAAATGGAGTCTTTAGGTGTCATGCCATATGGCAAACACCCTCTCTGGCTTATTAAATAAAAAGTAATTATTAATAATGATAAACTGGTTAATACTTTGCATATATCACATATGTGTACAATATACATATATGAACAAATATGTCACATATATTACAAACACTTTACACATATATCATCCATATTTGAGCCTAACAATAACTCTGTGAGGTAGGTACAGATGAAAAAGGCTTGGAGAGATTAGGTGATTTGCCCAACGTCACACAGTTGGTAAGAGTCAAAGGTGAGATTTCAACGCAATTCTTTTCTGACTTCAAATCCAGTATTCTTCACACTATGCCATGCTTGCCTCCATAACCCTACACGCCTTAGACTAGAAGGGATTTTACAGGCTGTCTCATCTTCTCCTCTGCCTCCCAGGCAAGAGGTCCCTTCACTGCAGTAGGGGAGATGGTCTGTGATATCTCACTGTGCTAAAATAGCTAGGAGTACCCCCTGGAAAGATGAGTGTCCGAAACGCCAGCTCATCCTTCTTTGTCATGTTTCAGCCAACAGTGATGAGAGTGACATCATCAATGCAGTCACTGTGGAAAAGAGCCCAGCAGGAAAGTTGGGCTTCAGTGTTCGTGGGGGCTCGGAGCATGGCCTGGGCATCTTTGTCAGCAAAGTGGAGGAAGGGAGCAGTGCAGGTGAGTTTCTGTCATACTCTCTGGGTCCTGGGGACTGAAGGGGCAGACAGGATGAATTGAGAGTTCCCAAGCTGCGTAGGGAAGAACTCAGCTCATCCAGTACCATTGCAGAGAGAGCTGGGCTCCGAGTGGGAGACAAAATCACAGAGGTGAATGGACTTAGCCTGGAGAGTACCACTATGAGCAGCGCTGTGAAGGTGCTGACGGGGAGCAGCCGTTTGAGCATGATGGTGAGGCGAATGGGCCGTGTGCCTGGGATCAAGTTCTCTAAGGAGAAGACCACGTGGTGAGGGTTCCCTCTGTCCTACCTTCCCCTCCCCCGAGTCACCTTCACCTGGATGGGGCCTCTGGGAGAAAGAGTTGGGATTCTGAGGAGAAGGGCTCTGCAAGGAACCTGGAAAGTACACAGGTGGTCACAGACTAGTCCCTGCAGCCTGGGGAAGAGTGAGTCAGTGGGCTGAGGGAACTCCCGAATCTAAGATGGTGATATGAGCCCCTCTCTCCCTACTGGGTCTGTTACCCTATCCTGTGCCTTCTTCTCCCTGTGCCCCCTATATCCCCATCCCCTCTCTCCTCAGAGATTGCTGTTCTTTTCCTCCTGCTCTTCTTGGGCTCTTTCTTCCTGCCTGTGTCCCTTGGGCGGGCCTTTGGTGAGTGAGTCTGACCATCTTTGTGGCATTTTGGAAACAGAGACTTCATCCTCTCTTTTCCTGGGGACTCTCCTTCCCCATCTCTTTGTCCCATGTCCTTGTCCCCAAATAATGCTCACTCTCTTGGGGGCTTTTTATCTAGTTCTGGGGGAATCCTAGTTGAGAAAAGGGCTACTATCTCCCCTAACCCTTGTTCAGTGAAATGTGAGAGGTATCTAAACCTGGAGGAGGGTCTGTGGGGAGCCGTATGCCTGGGATGGGGGTGGCATTGAAGTGCTGGAGAGCTCCCCCCACCTCCTATCCCACGTTGTTAGTGAATGATGGCCAACTCTCTTGGCTGATCTGCTGGGTACTAGGGTGGATGTGGTCAATCGAAGGCTAGTGGTGGAGAAATGCAGCTCAACACCCTCAGACTGCAGCTCAGATGATGGAGTTAGGCGCATCGTGCACCTGTATACGACCTCTGATGACTTCTGCCTCGGTTTCAACATCCGAGGGGGCAGAGAGTTTGGTCTGGGAATCTATGTCTCCAAGTGAGTAGACTGGATGGGGGCTGGGGTATAGGAGCTGGGAGGAGGCCCTCGGATGGACGTATTCCGACTGATCTCCTTGGTCTCAGAGTGGACCATGGTGGACTGGCTGAAGAGAATGGCATCAAAGTGGGAGACCAGGTCCTAGCAGCCAACGGAGTGAAGTTTGACCACATCAGTCACAGCCAGGCTGTGGAGGTGCTGAAGGGCCAGACACACATCATGCTGACCATAAAGGTAGGTCCCGACCACAGGGTTGTCATAGACCCATAGGACCCTAGGATGGAAGGCCGAAATGGTAGCTACCAGGTTGGGAAGGATAAAAGTCAGATTGTAGGAAGGACTTTCTAAAAGTAGCAAGTGTAAGCACAAGGCAGCTGGTTTTATCAGAGAGAACAAGCCCTTGTTTCTCAGCAAAAGGAGGGACTCTAGCTCAGAGGGGTGGTGGTGGTGAGATGGGGGGAACAGGATGACTTTTGGAGAGAGATAAACCTGGGGTCAAGGAGGAGATTACTCCCTGGGGCCATTATATGGATAATGAAAGGAAGAAGAGGCTGCAGGCCTCCTAGATTTGATTTTTTTTTTGGTGGGGGGAGCAACTGGAGTTAAGTGACTTGCCTCAGGTCACATAGTGTCTAAGGCTGGATTTGAACTCAGGTCCTCCTGACTGCAAGGCTGGTGCTCTAGCCACTATGCCACCTTGATGCCCTCCTAGATTTGGTTCTAAGACATCAACCAGGGAGGGAGTGGTGATCATTAACCAGTTCTTGGGTCATATTCTGGCCATTGCTTAAGATATGGAAGATACTCATACCCTCTTCCTACCCTTACCCCATTTCTCAATTCCCCAATTTCCTGTCCCCCACCCCCATTCCTACACTGATCCTCTAATTTCCCTCCCATCTCTATCCCTAATGCATTCCTCTCCCCTTCCTCCTCTCCCTCCCACTCAGGAGACAGGAAGGTATCCAGCCTACAAGGAGATGGTATCTGAGTATTGCTGGCTGGACCAATGTAAGACATTCTGAAAGCAGAATGGGTCAGATTGCCCTGGGGCTCCATGTGTGTCTGGGGATGGGGTGGAGGGACCTCACCAGGGCCTGGATGTCCTAAGCTTAACCCAGAAGCCTCCCTTCCTTCCAAGAGCCTCTACCTACCAATCACTCAGCTGGGGTCCAGGTTATCTTTGAATCTTTTTTGAAGGAGTTTGACACTTCAAACTCAGCCCCCAGGTCTACCAGCTCTCAGAATCATGCCCCTTAGGAAAGCTTTGATTCAAAGAAGAGCAGGGCCTTAGAAGAACCATCTACAACTAGGGTTCTTGATGTCATGGACACCATTGGCAGTGCCTGTCCTCTGGGAGCTCACAGTCTAATAGGGAAGGCAATAACTATGTACAAACAAGATCTCTCCCAGGGAAGGCACCCAGGTGAAGGAGGACTGGGAAAGGCTTCTTGCAGAAACTGGAATTCTAGCTAAGACCTGAGGGAAGCCAGGAGGCAGAGATAAGGAGAGAGAGAGTTCCAGGTGCAGAAGCCCTGATCTGCAATAATAATTTAGCTCGCAATTAATCATGTGGCACTTTATAGTTCACCAAGAGCTTTTTGTCATTTGAACCTCACAACTACCTCACTCTGAACCTCACAACATTTGAACCTACAAGGTAGGTATTATAAGTATCATCATACATAGGCCAATCCCTTCACTTTTCATCTGAGGATAGAGCTCGAGATAAGATAGAAATTGACTTGCCCAAGGTCATTCAGGGAGTCAGTAGAGGACCTGGGACTAAAACACAGGTGTTCTGACTCCCAGACCGTAGCTTTTTCTATCACACTGCTCCCAACTTGGCTAGTCCCCTCCTACACTCAATAGGGATCTTAGAAGGCCAGCAGGAAGCAGGATGAGGCTTCTAGGGAGAAGGTAGGCTCCCGTCCATCTCCCCAGACTGACCTAGGCCCCTGCCTCTTCATAGTGAACAATGGGCCCCTGCAGCAGCTGTCACAGACATCGGAGAGTAGTTCAACTGTGTCCTCCTACTCCTCCAGCATCCCCTACAGTTCTGGCTCTGGCTCCAGCTGCCTCCCCTTGGACATGGTGGATGTTGGCCTATCCACAGAGGAGCTAGTTGGGCCAGGGTCCAGGGGCTGGGGACGGGCAGACACAGCCATACAGACTGAGCCAGAGGTCAGCGGGGTAGTGGAGACATGGTGCAGTGTCCGGCCTACGGTTATCCTCAGAGACACAGCCATCCGATCAGACGGGCCCCTCCTTGCTCGAAGATCCGGCTCTCGCCTTGGCACCACACTGTCTGAGTCCCCCAAAACAGCCCTACTCTTGGCTCTCAGCAGGCCTCGGCCCCCCATCACTCGCTCTCAGAGCTACCTGACTTTATGGGGTATGTTGGGGATGGGCGTGTCTTATTCTTACCCAATCCAAGTCTTCTACAATAGCTTCTAACTCCCTCCCTATCCCAGGTTCTGGACCCCCGTGCCTGGCTCTGCCCTTGCAATCTCATCCTATTTCCATTATCATATTGGGTCCCCTCCTCCACTCCACATAAGTCTCTCCAAATTACCCTAGGCTAAAGTTTCCCAGGGAGGTTAGGATGGAGAGGAGGAGAGAGAAGGGTACCTAGATGCCATTTCTCCTACAGTGAGATCTCTGGATGAAAGCTGGTAGACTCTGCTCCTACTCCCTCAGCCCCTTCCAGGCCCCCCATCCCCCTTCTAGACCATCTCCACCCTCCCCTGTTACTCCCCCTCCCACCCCAGCCCTCCAGCCTCCTGTCTCCTACACCCAGAGGAGAAAAAACAGCGACGGAAGGAGAAGTCGGGGTCACCCCCAGAGAAGGGTGCCCTGCAGCGCTCCAAGACACTGGTGAACCTCTTCTTCAAGGGGGGGAAGAGTGGGCGACCAGCAGAAGATGGCAAGAATGAGGCCTCAGGGCTAGAGAATGAGAGTGCTTGCAGGTTCCAGTCCCATCTGGAAGGAGAGAAAGGTAAGATTATAATTGTGATGGTTCCTATCTTCGAAATATCCCCTCACCTTGCCCTTAACTGACCTTCACTGTCCCCACTGAAATGAGTCTGGCTAGCCTTCCAAAGTGGTGAGGTTACCCCAGAACTGTTTTTCTTCTTAAAACAGACTAATGAAAAAAAATTTAAAAAAATTAAAACCAGACTAATGGAGCCTTAGAGAAGGGAAGGCAAGGTGGGTCTGTGTTCTGGTGTAAACACTTCCTTCCCCTGGGGAAGCCAGAGGGAAGGATAGACCTGGTGTGGTGTGTGTGTGTGTGTGTGTGTGTGTGTGTGTGTGTGTGTGTGTGGTGGGGGGTGGTCAGGTCTTTTATTGTTATTATTACTAGAGGCAGCTAGCTATATGATGCAGTGGACAGAGCTCTGAGCCTGGAGTCAGAAAGACCTGAGTTCAAATTCAGCCTCAGACATCGACTAGCTGTGTGACCTTGGGCAAGTAAACTAACTTCTATTTGCCTCAGTTTCTTCAGATGTGAAATGGGGACAATAATAGCACCTATCTCAAAGGGTTATTATGCGGATCAAATGAGATATTATTTGTAAAGTGTTTAGCACAACGCGTGACACATAGTAGGGCCTATATGAATTTTTATTCCCTTCCTTTCCTCCTAATAATAGCAGCTGACATTTAGGGAATAGCAGTATAAAACTAGGTTTATTTCACTGGAGACAGTGAGCTGCATGGAGAAATTGGGGATCATACCCACAGGAAAGAATCTGAATTCCTTTAGTCTGGCATTCAAGGCCTTCTAGAAGGCCCCAAACTTATCTCATTATAGTCTAATTTCCCAAATGGGAACTCTTCCTTTTCACCCTCCAGGTACATTCTAGCACCCTTGTTCACACGCTTCTCCCCACTTAAAATATCTTCCATGCTCCTTTCCAAATCCTATCAGTTGTATAAGGCCCAGCTCAAGTGCCATGTTGACATGGAGCTTTCTTCGAGCTCTGTAGCCTCCACTGATCTCGCCTTCCTCAGACAGATGGCTGTCAGGCCTCAGCCTCCAGTTTATTACTGTTAAAGCGACACAGCACCCTGTCTTATTCTCTGATTACGCGGTGTGTGTTAGGTTTGTCTTCCCAGCCAGGGCTGGGAGCATTTCTTCAATTTCTCCTGTCTCTTCCTCCTTTCCATCCCTTCCGCGTTGTGCCCCCCACATTCAGTGTAGCCAAGCCCAGGGACTGGCATAAGAGAAGAGGCGGTCAGTAGGTACTTGCTGACTTGATTCAGCCATGAGGCTGGAGCTCAGCTCTCTTCCTTAGGGAGATCAGGACCTGTGCAGAAGTTTGTTACCTGGAAACTGAGAAGGGGTAAGTTCCCCCTGGCAGTGTTGGGGTTTGGTTCTCAGAGAACATAACACTGTGTCCTAGGTTGGGTTCAGGGGATGGGGAGGGGTCCAGTGTGCATGTGGTTTGGGGGAGCATGGAGTCTATATGGGTAAGGTCCTCAAACCCTGTCTGCATAGACATCAAGAAATCTCATTCCTTGTTGGATCCTGGTTCCCTAACTGTGGGTCCTTCTCATCTCTACCTCCACTCCTAGACAGAGAGAAAGCCCAGACCATGCTCTTCCCTGGATCAGAGGGACACTCCAGCCAACTGTCCAATGGAGAGGACCAGATCCAGGCATGGGAGAGCCGTCTCCCCCTCATACAGGACCTGGCCCGGCGCCTTCTGACCGATGATGAGGTCCTGGCTGTCACTCGTCACTGCACCCGGGTAGGCCTCCCCCTGGCCTCCTCCTTCACCTGGACCTTTCCCTTCCCACCATTAAACTCCTAATATCCATTCATTTAGAGGATTAGCTTAGTGGGGGAGTGCTGGTCTTAAGAATCGGGAAGGCTTGTACTCAAAACCCATCTCTAGTATTTATTAGCTATGTAATAAGCAATCCTTTCACCTCTGGGAGTCTAATTTCCTCATCTGTGAGTAGGGATAATAATAGCAACAATCTCAAAAAAGTGCCAGAATCAAATAAGATCTATATCAAGTGTTTTGCAAACCTTAAATGCTATATAAATTATCACCATCCCCCTAAGTACCCTGGTACCCTAGTAGGAGAGGGCATCTCTCATTCTGCCTGTCACCTTCTTGATTCCAGAAGCCTTTTTATCCATACTGGAGGACATGGCATTGAGTGAGGATGACCAATTAACCAACAAGTATTTATTAAATATCTACTATGTACTAGGCACTGTACTAGGTGCTCAAGATATAAAAATTTCTTGCCCTCAAGGAATTTCTATTCTAGCGAGAAACAAAATATTCACAGATAGAGGGTATATTAAAAATGTACAATGATTAGGAAAGAAGTAGAGGTGAGGAGAGAGGGCCTTCCAGGCAAGAGACACAGTCCATGCCTTTGCACAGAGGCAGAAGACGTAATATCTTATATGGAAAACAGAAAGCATGCCAATTTGGCTTGGAGTCGGTGTAAGGGGGAGTAATTCATAATTAGCCTGGAAAGGCTAGAGGCAGATTGTGAAGGGCTTTAAATGGCAAACACAGGAGTTTGTAAGTGGTTAAACAAAAGAAGGACCTATTAGACAGATGTTTGAGGGTGTCCCTCCCTGAGGAAAGCAACCTTTTCTCTAGAAGATAATGTACAATTTTTGCAGAGGGGGAAAATGAGGTTCAAAGAAGCTTCCAACTTTGCCAAAGCTTGACAGGGGACCAAATCATCACAGCATAGAGCTAAAGGACAATAGCGCTAGAAAAAGTCTTTGAGACTGCCTCATCCAACACATTTGTTTAATAGATAGAGAAATGGTGGCTCAGAACCTCTGTGACATTAGCAAGATGTATATGATACATAAAATAGGACAGGATCTTAGGCAAGTAATTCTTCCCTGGGCTTGTTTTGTCCTCTGTAAATAAAGGGCTTCAATTAGATAATGCCTAAGGTGCCTTCCATCTCTAAATCCTATGATTCTATGTCTGTAAGTCAAGGGAAGACCCCATGGATGGCAATATTGATGCAATTTATGTATGTTTGTGTGTGCGTGACTATCTGTGGTATGTGTCTGGGTGTATGTGGTGTAAGGGTCAATGAAAGGAAAAACTTCCTAACAATGAGAAGATTCCAAAGTGGAATGGGATCTCTTGGGAGATAGTAGATGCCCCCTTACTAAGGGTCTTCTGGAAAAGGTTTAATAACCACTTGTCAAGATATGATATTAGAATGTAAGAAGAGGACATTGTTTCATTCTTGATGTTTGTGTCTCCAGCACCTAATATGGTGCCTGGCACATAGGAGGTGTTTAATAAATGCTTGTTGATTGATGGATGATGTAGAAAGGATTCCTTTCTACCTCTAGCTTCAGGTGGTACTAGAAGGATGATAAAGTACCTTCCAAGTCTAAGGTGCTATATCTCTGTATTTGTGTTATGTGTTTGTGTTTCTAGTCTGTGGACGTGTATGATTGGTAACCAGGAAATGTGCCTGTTTCCATGTGTGGTTGTGTCTCCATGCATGTCACATTCTGGCCACCAGGGGGGTGCATCTCTGCATTGCTCCTTATTGCTGGGTCACACTATGGACACAAGGCGGAGCTGTACTCCACATCATGGCTAGGCAGAGCTGTATGAGTGGGTGGATTGGGAACTCTGGGGAACTTAGCCTATATGCAGTGGTAGACCTTCACCTGACAGATGCTGGAGGTCCTCCCTTCTCCCACTCCCAGCTTCACCTTTCACTTTGACCAGAAATTCCCAGACAGTGACTTTGTCTCCAAGACTCCCAGCCCATCGCCTGCTTGTCAAGAGAAACTGCCCAGTGTCCACCTCTAGACAAATAATCAGAGTCTAGTGTTTAAATTAAAACAAAGTCACTTTAGACTAAGACCCCTGAGGTGGCCAAATGACCTACAGAAGACTGCTTTCTGCAGAAGCATTGAAATGCCCATGGTCCTTTCTCCACCCTCTCCTAAAGTGAGCCAGAACACCAGGCTCCTCCCTCCCCT